TTCACAATGGGCTATCTGTGCACTGCCCACCACGGGTATCGAAACCCGGTTTTCGCATTGCAAGTCCGCAGACATACCGCTGTGTCACATGAGTAAGTTTCTATAGCCAATAACTACCATATATATTCTGAAATTTATTTTGTCTTTTCTCTTCGTCTATGAAGTTGTTTTAGGAAAGTATTACCACAAGTTCCACGTGCTGTTTAGATTTTGAGGTCACGATGTGATTAATATACAAGATTAGTTCCTGACAAAACTTCAAAAATTATTCCACGTTTACCTAAATCACATTATTCTTTGAGTGGTTATAGCACGCAATCACTTATACAAATATACATATATATATATACATTTAGTTAATATCAGCATATGCACGTGCACTTTGGTCTATCACTCATGTGTTATTTTAGAAAATTATTTTCTTATCCAGTTAGAGGAGAATGTTCGGTTTCTTTGTTTGCTATATAAGAAAAGTATACATTTTAATAAGCTTTAAATCCTTGGGCAAAACAAAATAGTTAAAGAGATTGTGTAAAAGAATACTTCCAGTAGATGTTTAAATAAATATTTAGATGTTAAGTAGTAAAAGAATGAACGATCTGAAGAGTGAATTCAAGCAAAATATACATATACAAACAATTACTGCAATCACGAAGTTTAAACAATAACAAACATGTGTGCATGGACTCCGAGTAATTTGAAGTAAAATAAATACAGCTGGACTCTTCATAATCGACGGATAAAAGCAAAATAACGTCGAGAATGAAATATTCAAAGATGGCAATCAAACACCATAGTTTCGTTTAGGTTTACTTACTAACTATTTTATTTTTTACAGCTTACTGCTTTTACAGTAAGAACGAATTTTTATTTAAAAAGGTGCACGATTTCGATCGCTAGTTCAATCACTTTCAAAACCTTTGGAATGATCGCACCAGCGATTGAAACGTTGTGCCTTTTTAAATAAACATTCTTCCTTACTACAAAAGCAGTAACTTAAATATATATATATATATATATAAACCGTATATACAGCCTTTTATCACTTCCATTGACGTAGTTTAACCTATCGACGATAAAGTCTGTCTCTTAATGAAATTTGTTAAGATTTTAACCAGTAAATAAAGTGTTTATTTTTAAACATTTTCTGTAAGGCATGAAAAACAGAGCAACGATGATTTAGAAAATACTCTCCAACTCTGTTCAGTGATAAGATCTCATTTATGGGAGTTTTCATAGCAAGAGTAAAATGCGCATGAGTCTTGACAATATTGAAAGGGTTAAGTTAAATTATTAGTTAACGGCGTCATAGTCAGACTGTAATTTAGTTTCCAAAACTATAAATTAGTTTTCAGATTTTACTCATATTCTTCATAATGATGTTGATCCTGGCTATGCTATAGTCCTCTGATTATAGTATAATCATGCAATTCAGTTATTTGTGACGAAAGCTATTAAAATATTCACACACTTTATTAAAGTATGAAAAAAAAGTCCAGCACTGTTTCAACTTATTGTTTCTTTTGACGAAGCATAATAATAATAATAGGGATAAAATTAAAAGACAAAGAAAAAAAGGTAAAAGTAATCTTGTTGCAGAGACCAAAAGTGAAAATCCCGAGAACAACAAGTGAGTGTGTAATCTTGTAATAAAATAGGTCAGCATGCCTGGAAGCACCTAAGCTTTCATTTCATCGATAGAACTTTATTAGTGCAAACAACATTACGTCGTGGTTGGATTTGTAGCCAGCAAAGCTTGTGAAGGTAATTAATTACCTATGGAATAGCAAATCAATTAAAGTGGAATTAACGTCGAGGGTACATTGAACTCAGTACTGTATTTGTCCTTACTAGTGATTAATAAAATTACTAACACATTATAAGATATTAAAATAAGAAAATTAAGTATTTTATTTCTGTGTGTTAAATCACAAAAAACTAAAATAGAGATTAACATGATTTGGTTGATATAATTTTATTACTATCAAAAATAGGAATTAATAGAATCATGTGCTTTTGTATGAAAACTACAAGTTTTGTGATAGCAACTATATTTAACGCGATATAGTGTTATACAGATAGAATACTGTAGTATCTGACACGAAGCTTGCGAGGAATATGTTAATGAATGTGCAATTGAAAAGTTGTCTAGTAGAGTAAATTAGACAAAGTATGGACGGATATGTTTCAAAGTTTCGTGTCGTCGATATTTATATATTTTATCATAAACGAAATCTAACATAACTTGTTTGATATTTTGGAACGTTAAACATAAAATTTAAGAAAACTACTTGATTTTTAATAGAACAAACTTTGGAACTCAGAAAAACGAAAATAAAATACATTGTAAGCAAATACGTGCTTTAAGAACTATGTACTGTGAATAGTAAATTATAATATATGTACTAAGTCTTTGTTAATGTGATTAAGAGAAAAAAAAGGTCAAGCATGTGACTCAGCTTTTGTAAAATAAAATATTTCGTTTGCATTTATAAGAACTTGATATAAGAGACCGGCACGTATCTAAACAAAATTATCAGTCAGTGAAAAAATCAAACCGATATCTGCAATAAACTACTTTTATTAATACACGCATAGCTATAGTACACAAAATATCCATTTAAATACATGAATCTATATGTAAAAAAAATGAGAACATGCCCATTCCGAACCCTTTACGTCTGATCATATAAAATTACGCTTGTTATCAATCAATCCTTCATAAATTGAAGAGGAATTCTTAGGGTTAGTCTAATACAATAGAAGCCTGTAGAAGAACTCAAAAAATGCTGAATAAATAAGAAAATACAAGAAACATTTTATGGGCTCCGATCCGTCGAAGTCGAGAACCTGAGGAAAAAAACAACAACTCTTTTGTTTTTTAACAGTATCCAGATGTTGCTAAATTTAGTCTTTTATCACTGTATACACTTTTTTTTTTTATAGCCCGTGTTTCTGTTAGTTTTCATATTAAGAAGCTGTTGCAACAAATATGTTTAATATCAAAAGAAAGATTTAACACGGATCATGGCTTTACAAAAAGAAATGGTTCTAAACCCTGTGAACATGAGGTTCCCCCAGGATCACTGTGTCGGCAATTTTAACACTTTTCTCTGCGTAATGGCGACTTCATTTTGCTCAACTGATCTTATCATTTGCAGATATTCCAACGAAACGGGACCGAAAGCAACCTGGACCACTCGCATCACTATGCAGTAGTGTTGTCTGTCTGTTAGTCACTAGAAACTAAAATGACGTGACATAAGGGACGCTTAACGTTGCAATTTGTACTGTGGTAACGTCAGTAAAACGTGCGCATGCTACGAATCACGAGAAGAATTATGTACTCTGTAGGCTAGACACAGCATGGCATATGAACTTCAAAAGCAAGAAATAAAATTATTTGTTACTTTTAATAACAAAATATTCCTCTCTTTATTTTGTTTTTCATCCAGTTGTAAAGAACGATCATCACAGGTAGATCAAAAATTAGACAAGTCATATTGTTTACAGAGATGTTTATTTGTTGCATTTTCTGATTAGAAACTACAAGATATTATTATTAATTTTTAACGGTTCAGAGATGGGTTAAACAGTGTTTAGTGTCTATACAAGTACTTTGGAAATTTGTGATTTGAGATTTTGCTTAATATTCATAAACGTTTCATTATTTTTACTGTCGTGTTTTGATGAAACTTATATTAAGGAACTAAATACGAAGATAAGGAAAAATAATATTTGATCAATAAAAACAGAAAAATCAACAACAATAATTTATGAAAAAGCAATAAAGTAAACAATTTCACCATTGATTAAAAAAGGACGTAATAATGTTGATTATGTTAATAATTAAATGACGTAGCAACACTGATGATGTTAATTTTTAGAAAAAGGATATAACAATGTTGATTATGTTAATAATTAAATGACGTAGCAACACTGATGATGTTAATTTTTAGAAAAAGGATATAACAATGTTGATTATGTTAATAATTAAATGACGTAGCAACACTGATGATGTTAATAAAGAACATAACAATGAACATAACTGAATGTTTCAAACGCAAATGTTGAGAACTTTTAAAATGATTTCTGAATCCTTGTATTTTGTAAGCACTGTATGAAAAAAAAAACACAAAGAAATTAATGTGTGTGTGTGTTTTTTCTTTACATAATGGCTACTTCAATCGCTATATCTTTGGAATTAAAAGAGGTTTTGAAACGTCTTTCAATACATTCATATTGAGTGATGTCAGAAATTCAATAAATGATGGAGACCTTTTTATTGCATCTTGTAAAACTGTTCCAAAGACAAATATGTTTGATATGGAAAGTAAGATTTTACACAGATCGTGGCTTTACAACAAGAAAAGGGGTCTAAACCCTATAAGCAAATGTAATGGAACAAAAGGTTCACAAGGTTCCCCAAGAATCACCATGGTGACAGTTTTAACACACTTGTAGGGGTTAATAAAGAATTGGTACGTGATTATTAGTTGCAATGAATTTCAAAGAAATATCTGATTAAAGAGTTTCATTATTCACGTTCTTCTCCCACAATTGAAACAATTCAAATCCAGAGGATTAAAATACATTTTTTTCTCTATAACTGTTCAATAAGTGCAGGATTTTACGTGGTACATTTCTTGGAAGAAAGTCACAGTTAGCAACAAATCGCACAGTAAATGCGAATGAAATGAGACTTGTAAATAAAACGATATAAAAAATACTAGTTCTTCTTCTTGAAGCACATAAGCTTCTAGATTATTCGTTTAAAAAATTAACTTTTGGTTATTTTATATATTTTCTTGGCTCTAAGTTCCTTTTGATTTATATTTAGAAATTACTAATAAAAACGAAAACAATGATAATTGAAATAGTTTAATATTGAAATTTCAAAACTCTTTTGAGAATTTTAATAAAATACAATCTTCTTTTTCTTCTAGTCTGTTAAAGATATATGGGGAAATTCTATATTAAACATATGTGTGAACAAATTCTATATTAAAAATATGTGGGGGAAATTCTATATTAAACATATGTGTGTGTGAATAATTCTATATTAAAAATATGTGGGGAAAATTCTATATTAAACGTATGTGGGGAAATGTTTGCATCAAACATAAATCTGCTTTCATATGGGTTCCGTTGGGTTTTCCGTTAAAGGAAAATTTTATGTTTAAGGTGGTCACGTCAGTTGTACCAAACTTTATCAAAGTAAGGGCGAGAATAAATACGGACTGCTCATGTTTCCCGGAATTAGGGAATATGTGCACGCTGTTCACTTTATCAATAAAAACTTTCGTCCAAATAAAACGGCCACTAAATGTAGTTTAATGTAAATAGAAATGTCTAAATATCAGAGTTTAGTGATGCTAGAATCAATATATTAACTCCATAACCAGCTCAATATACCTGTGTTAGTAGGTCCCAGGCTAAACTGCTCCTTTTCGGAAATTACTCGGTTTGGAGGAAAACATTTATACAATTCAGAAGCATATTATTTTTATAGCGATACACGGATGGTGGCGCTACATTGAACTCGTATTATTTTCTGCTTAATGGTACTATAAACTCGAGGTGTACAGCTGGGATTCAGCGTGCGGAACTGTAGTGAAGTTTGTGTAAAAAAGGGAAAATCTGGATTAAATTCTCATTGAGATTGGTTTTCTCTCAAAAGTTGTTAAAGATAAGAAACTTTGATCATAAAATCAATAGACAAAATATAATGAAATTAGCTTTGGAATTGCCTCCAAAAATACTGTTAAAAGTGGGAAACCGATGATTCCATGCATTTAACCCCCCGGCCAAAAATCGGGTTTCGATACCTGCGGTGCGCAGAGCACAGATAGCTCTTTGTGTAGTTTTATGCTTAACAACAACAAAACATATTAATCAATAAAGAATTGGTTTCTTACAGTATATAAATACGTTTAGGGAGTTTGTTGTTTAGGTTCAGCATCATTAACCTATAAGTTACATCTTAGCTCTGATCTGTATATTTAGCTTTTTTTGTCAGAAATTGTTAATAATTGCTCTTGCTAAATATAGGTTATAATAAAGAAATAATCGAACTCAGTTTTCTGTATAAAACATGTACATAAAACATGCGAATATGTAAATTAGTTTGCAACAATTTAAAAGACAAGTAGGATAAAAGAGCAGTTCCGATCAAAAACCTTTACTTTTCTATTTCTGCTAAATCCAAGGGCATTTTAATTTGTTTCGTTCTTATATACAAATTGAAATTTATTTCGCCTTTTCTATGTCCCGTTAAATCTTGACTTTTCGATTTGCTATAATTCCAGTTAAAATTTGGCTCTTTCTCATTTTGCCCCCCAGTAGCACAGCGGTATGTCTGCGGACTTACAACGCTAGAAACCGGGTTTCGATACCCGTGGTGGGCAGAGCACAGATAGCCCATTGTGTAGCTTTGTGCATAAATTCAAACAAACAAACAAACAAACTTTCTCATTTTAACGTCCTGATCAATCTTGATTTCATCGTTTGTGTTCCAGTGGATCATGGATTTTCTACATTTATATCTTTTGTTTCAGAATGAGTTATGCGTCATCTCAGTTTTTCACTTTTTAACTCACAATAATACTAAATGTTTTATTCGTTCTAAACTTCGATGATTATTCTTTGACCGTGCCTTTGATCTTTTTTCTCCTAAGTCTCTAGAATTTATGGTTTGTAACTTTCAAACAAACACAATAATCTTGGTAAATATCTAGTAGACGATTTATGGTGTAATGCATTAATACCTATTAACTATTAAATCCAAATAATGTTCTAAATGTTATTACCTTTTAAATACACCAAATAACTATTCCTTATCGGTGTGTTTTGACAGCCTCATCCCATACGTTTACGAGTTGAATAACGTGTCATATGTCGTAGATTATCTAAACCGTGATCAATATTCTAATAAAATATGTAAAATATACATTTGCAGGCTTCCAGGTAAATATACAGGGTTTATGGTGTGAAATTCTAATTTGACCATTTTGGATATTGACATATTAGTTATCAGTGATTGTCCTAATTTAACCAAATATCGTATACTTTCTGATAAAAAAAAAATTAACAATGCTTATATTATACTGCTTTCTCATAACAGTTGCAAACCATTTGATTGTTTTTTTCTCTGTATATTTATACATATATATATATAATACTTTAAAAAAGCGAGCCCAGCCTAGTTAATTCACTTTCATCATCTCATTTACATACCTCCTGATTAAACCAGCTATGACGATGGCAAAACCAGCCCATTTCATAAAACCCCAAAGTGCCTTGCTATTATTAACGATCTGTCGCTATGATCGATGAATATCTTAACAAAAAGCTTTATTTGTACACACACATATCTCACCGTGCCTCACCTAAATGATATGATTACAAGATATCCATCTCTTCAAACTGCACGGTAATAAATAACATTCTTTGTATCCATTATTTTGTTGACTTTTCTGCGAAAATTTATCACAGCTCAGGTGATAATAGTTTTAATTTCCTTTTGGTTTGAGGCACTTTTTGCCAGTTTTTATACAGGATATCAAGTCAAAGCGTATACCCAGACAACGACATGCCCTCAGGTAATACGATTTTTTGACTTACTAGGGTAATCGTCACTTGATTCTTCGATTTTATCAAGCGTAGCGATAAATCTTAGCGATTTTTCATCTTTGTGGCCGCCATTTATATCACCCACCAAAGTGGCGCCATACAAATAATTGTCATTTCTTTCTTCTTCATGCGTGTAATAAACTGCACCTCGTCTTTTATAAATAAGAATGAAAGTTATGATAACCAGCAATAAAATAACCAGAAAGGTTACAGCTATAATGATTCCAATCTGGGATCCAGAGTTGAAGATTCGGGATTGACTTTTTGGTCCCCCACATGGCGGAACTTCACTTACACGTAAAGATCGAACCTCTCTAAAAGCTAGCCTTTCGGGATGAACACATGTGAAACAGGACTGGTCCCTCCGACAGACCTTTCTGTTTCCTAGGGAACTGTTGAGCCACTTAAGAGTGGGAAGAATGTGGCACTGTTCGCAAGTCCACGGATTTGAATGAAGCGGAACGTTAGAGAGTCTGGTCATGTTGGTGAATTGGTCTAACAATTGTGGTTGTAGTCCTAAAAACAGATTACCAGACAAATTCAGCTCTTCCAGTTTACTCAAAGGTCGGAGAATTTCAGGATCAAGAGTGGATAGCTCATTCTGTGATAGATCAAGAACACGCAGGTCTCTGTTAGTGAGGAAAATCTGGGGCGGGAGTGTGGTGAGAGCTAGTCCCGAGAGCGAAAGTCGTCTGAGGCGATGGAGAGGCTGGATGACGCTTGCTACTGTATTGACAGCCACGTTGTTGAATCCAATGTCTAGCACTTGAAGACTGAACGTTACTTCTTTCAAAATGTTACTTTTTAAAGAGGCAAACTGGTTTCTGGAAATATTAAGGCTCTTGATGCTGGCGTTACAAAAGGCACACGCATCTAAACTCACTATCTGGTTCCTAGATAGACCCAGATAATCAAAGTAATGTCCGTTGAATGCCTTGTCAACAATAACGCTCATCTCATTTCCGTCTAGATAGAGCATGCGCAGTTTTTTCAAATGACGGAACTCTTCGGGAGCGAAGTAATTAAAGAAATTATCTCTTAAGTCTAACTCCTCCAAATTTGGTAAATGCTGGTAAATCAAAGAATGAAGACGAGATAGTTGGCAATTGGCTAGACTTAAGCTTTTCAAAGGTCGTAGGTCTTTAAGATTCTCTGGATCAATGTCTCCTAGGGGGTTGCTACTCAAGTCTAGGCGTTCCAGCTTTTTCAACATGTAGAAGATTCTTGGAACTAGACGTTTGAGCTGATTTCTTGCCAGTGACAGCGTGGTGAGGTTGGAGAGAAAACGGAATGGTGCCGAAGGAGTAGCACTGATGACATTGTCACTCAGGTCTAAAACTTCAAGGTTGGTAAGTCCGTTGAAATCGAAATCATGCAGTTGACTGATGTTGTTATGACTTAGGCTCAAAACCCGCAGGTTTGTGCCGGGCCAGAAAGAACTGTGTCCAATAGCAGGAACATATGAATGCATGATATAAACTTCCTCTAAGGCTGTGAAATCCAGAAATATTCGACCGATGGTCAAGTAGTTCGGATTACTCGGAGGAGCTGTCACCAGAAAAATTTGTGTGTCAGTATCCATGTTATTGGTGGGGATTTCTGTTATTCCTCCTTTATCACATATCACAGTCTTCCGTCCCCGTTGTCTCTCACAACTACAAGATTCTGGACATCTACCAGAGACCTGGAAAATTACGGCCAATAACACTCCAACCGATACTAAAAACGTTTGTCCTCCCATGAGCATCTTCTAGCCTTTTATCTGAAACGAAATGGAAATGTGATTAACTACATGGCCAGTTTAGACTGAAACGAAATGGAAATGTTATTAACTACATGGCCAGTTTAGACTGAAACGAAATGGAAATGTGATTAACTACATGGCCAGTTTAGACTGAAACGAAATGGAAATGTGATTAACTACATAGCCAGTTTAGACTGAAACGAAATGGAAATGTGATTAACTACATAGCCAGTTTAGACTGAAACGAAATGGAAATGTGATTAACTACATAGCCAGTCTAGATCTTGAACAAAAAGGTGAGCAGAACTACATCAAATATAGCTTTTGTATCATGAACTGTGAAGCTTTTATTACATAAAAGGAATGTGTTGTTAAACTTTAGTTACAAAGCAAAGATGGATATGCAACGAAGTTCACTTTTGTAATATGTATTTTTTGTAATAATGAATGTCTGATAGACCAGAAAAACGAAAAAATAAATAAAATAAAAGAATATCTACAATTGTTAGTCGTTAGGTGTTGCTGTATTAAGATTCGTGCGTCTCAGATCAATACTACAGTTTCTAGTTGTTACGTGTTTCTGTATTAAGAAGCGTGGTTTTCAGATCATGGCTGCAGTTTCTAGTTGTTAGGTGTTTCTGTATTAAGAAGCGTGGTTTTCAGATCATGGATGCAGTTTCTAGTTGTTAGGTGTTGCTGTATTAAGATTCGTGCGTCTCAGATCAATACTACAGTTTCTAGTTGTTAGGTGTTTCTGTATTAAGATTCGTGCGTCTCAGATCAATACTACAGTTTCTAGTTGTTAGGTGTTTCTGTATTAAGAAGCGTGGTTTTCAGATCATGGCTACAGTTTCTAGTTGTTAGGTGTTTCTGTATTAAGAAGCGTGGTTTTCAGATCACGACTACAGTTTCTAGTTGTTAGGTGTTTCTGTATTAAGCAACGAGGTTTTCAGATCATGACTGCTGTTTCTAGTTGTTAGGTGTTCCTGTATTGAAGTGTGGTCTTTCATATCACAACTACATTTTCTAGGATTTTATGTATGTGAATATCATCAGATTTCAGGTCGTAATAAATCTAAGTAATAGGAGGTTTTAATGTTTTATCACTTCGTTTTCTTGTTTGATGATGTATTACTTTACTCTTTTATGATTTTTTAGGCCAGAAGTAAATGTTTCTATTTATGGTAAAGCTATTGAGGCTATCTGCCGTCGTTCATAATTTTAAATACTTACCAGAGGGAGCTAGTTAGCAGCAAACCTACTACCCACCATTGACGATAAGGGATTGACACCACTCTTATAACGCACCTACAGCTTAAAGTGCGAGGAACATTTTGTGGTATCACACGGATTCAAATCAGGCTTCCCAGTCTCGGAAACCAGAGATCCACCACAGAAACAAACTGCCTTCAGAGCGCTACCATAGGACCAAATCGCCTTCACAGCTCTACCACAGGACCAAATCGCCTCCAGAGTACTACCACAGGACCAAATTACCTCCATAGTTCTACCACAGAACCAACCTGCTACTCCCAAAACTAAGTAAAGAGTATAGAAAACCTAGTGCCACTGCCAAAAACATCAACACATATAATCACATCTATAGCTCACCTAGTTACACCCCAGCATTTGTCTCTTTAAAATAATCACATCTATAGGAACTATAGCTCACCTAGTTACACCCCAGTATTTGTCTGTTTAAAATAACCACATTTATAGGAACTATAGCTCACCTAGTTACACCCCATTATTTGTCTCTTTAAAATAATCACATCTATAGGAACTATAGCTCACCTAGTTTCACCCCTGTATTTGTCTGTTTAAAATAACCACATTTATAGGAACCATAGCTCACCTAGTTACACCCCAGTATTTGTCTGTTTAAAATAATCACATTTATAGGAACTATAGATCACCTAGTTTCACCCCTGTATTTGTCTCTTTAAAATAATCACATCTATAGGAACTATAGCTCACCTAGTTACACCCCAGTATTTGTCTATTTAAAATAATCACATCTATAGGAACTATAGCTCACCTAGTTACACCCCAGTATTTGTCTATTTAAAATAATCACATCTATAGGAAATATAGCTCACCTAGTTTCACCCCTGTATTTGTCTCTTTAAAATAATCACATCTATAGGAACTATAGCTCACCTAGTTACACCCCAGTATTTGTCTAATTAAAATAATCACATCTATAGGAAATATAGCTCACCTAGTTACACCCCTGTATTTGTCTGTTTAAAAGCACGGAATCAATAAACACTATGTTTCGATGTCGTACGTCTTGCAGATCATTTCTTGAGCTTCTCACGCTTCATATATATATAAAAGGGAATTACACTTGCTACTTAAAACTTTTGACTGTGAAAAAATAACATAAAACCAATTTTCTAAGCACGTAAGCTAAGTTTTCTGTTTGTTCCAACGGTACAAATATTTCAACTTAGCAGCAATAGCAACTGACATATACTTGATGACGATCATATGTAAGTTATTTTGAGAGTGGCCTTGACTGGTAATCTCCTTGTAGAGGATGGCTGCTTCGCAAGTATGCTTAGGGCTCGTTCTAGAGCTATAACGTTTTCGAAATCAGCTTCGTCGCCAAGACGATTGATACTTAAAGCTCGTTACTCAACAATCTATGGCGTGTTATCACGTCATGTGCCAGCACGAGCAGCCCTCATCACGCGCAGAGTTTTCGAAAAATTGATTCACAATTTCTAAAACTTGTCTGCAAAACCCAGAGGGAAAATACAGAGAGTGCTGACGGTAATTTTCATCTTGAAATTTACCACGTAAATGACTTTTATGTCTTTCAGTTGGTTTCAACGACTCTAGTAGATATCAAACACCATTAACAGTCACAAGTTTCGAGAAATCAATTTCTTTAAACTGTCAAAAGAATCCATAATAGAGCCTGATGTCTTAAAGTCCTCGTCTTCAGTATTGTTTCTACATCATCAAATACTGACGAAATGAATTTGTGCCTATGAATATTTTAATGTGGCAGTACTCATGGATAAGAAACTAAGTACAAAAAGAATGTTCTCCTCAAATCTAGATTTTCATTCACATTGCAAGAAGAAATATGCGAATTCATATACACACAGCTTATGTGTTCCTTAGTCACCATATTCACGTGTATGGAATTGAATATGTTTAAGTATATTTGTATACCTAATTCTTGTTTGTTTGTTCCTTGTTTAGAAGTGTGATATTACTTATTTATTTTTTGTTATTTCAGGAAATATTTCGTCATTTCTCTGAAATTATATAAGTTGTGAGAGGATATATGTACCAGATTAATAAAAAAATAAATTAATGCTATTAATTATCAATAAAAAAGATAGTTATACAAATAATAGATTATTGAAAGTTAGTATTCGTAATTTAATAACAGAAGAATACTAACTTATTGGAATGAATTTTGATCATTTTTCTTGTATCTTTATCCACTTTTCTTAGACATCAAATTGACATAATTACAAGCCTAGAAACAGATATCCAGGTGGAATTCGTTAGCGTTTCCTTTCGTTTTGTAATCATCTGTGGTTACGTCAGAGTACACTCATACTTCTTAAAGAAGAGAATGGTTAAGGAACCCAACAAAGCAGAGGATTTAGCTAGAGAAGATACAGTCTGCTGCTAAGCTTTTTCTGCTATCGGAAGAGATTAAGAAGAAACACGTGGGGCTTTGAGTCTAACCCTAGCTTATCGTCTATTTTCAGCTACCGTCGGCTTCCTCGTGGGAACATTCTGCTAACATGATAAATCACAACACCGCCGCACTGTGGAGCCCGTTTTAATAGCGTTAGAAAATAACGTTCATAGAACGTTATCACAGTGAGTAGCCTCGAGCAGAGCCATAAGCTACCAAGTTTACTTTGTGTTTTAACGTGTCGCTGTGCGTAGCGAAAGTTTCTTTGTTTTGTCAGAATATTTCTTTTTTACTGGAATATTATTTAAAAAATCGCCATAATGTCACAGCTTTCATCTCACTTAACCCTCTTCTCCAATGTTTAAATATCTCTTGTAATTCTGTCATACACACACTTTTATTGAAGAAGTCGATGTTTCAAAACGTTTTTTATCCTTTACAGCAAGACCAGTTATTAAAGAATGTTATTCGAGGAAAAATAACATATTTTTAGAGTTCTCGAATTTCATTCCAAAAGCAATTGTTAGAGAATAGTTTTTAAGAAGCTCAAATTACATAACTTTTTTTTTACCGTTTGCAGTTTAACTTTACGAAATAGTTCATACGTAATATATATTTTTAATTTCAAAAGTTATTATTTATTTTTTTAATTCATATCTATTACACTTCAAGTTTACTTGCACAACGATTGTTCAAAACGATTTCTAAACATTTCGTCTATAAGAATTATTTTATCGTTGTTTTTTTATTAACTTTTTAGAATAGTTATTCAAGGACGACTTTTTGGAAGATATTAGATATAATGTATTTCTATTCTTCTTTCTTGAATTGCAATAAGGAAATTATTGAACTATAACATATACCCGGGCTATCAAATGATATCTTTAGTTTATAAGCCAATTTCGACATTCCATGCGGTGACCGCAAGGGGTCTTAAGGTATATACCTAGAAAGTTCTGTTATTTATTCGAATTACTAAAGCACAACTGTTAATATAATTGTTATATCCGTATCATATTGCTTACAAATGTTATTCAATAATAAGTTTCCAATGCAAGCAGATTAGTAAATATCTTTATTTTCCAAGTGTAAAAAATAGGGGCATTATGGAGTTCTTAAACACGCTGCAGAGAATAAATTGTACTTTATAAGAACGATTTGTTAAAGCAGTGACGTGGCACCACTAATGCGAACTGTGGCATACGGGAGACATGTTTAGAACGCACACATATACACTTATTTGATTCCCGAAAAATTCCTGATCGTTCGACAGTATGATTCCACCACAAGTAAACTGTGGTTGGATGATACATCACAGCCTTGTATAAGGGAGTAAATTCGTCCACCGAGA